GCACTCCAGCCAAAAAACGTTGCCTACCCCTATCCTAAGCTAATTACTTAAGTTCTTAGAATACATGCTATAAATCTAGGGAATGTACACTCCATTTTTCAAATATGGCATGGTTTCAGCTTCTCCAGTATAAAATGAAAATCATTCTTAGCTATGGAGCTGTAACCTGTGCCTCAATCAAAGCTTTGTAACAGGCAAAAGGATATTAGTAAATGGAATAAAATCAAGGCTTTTTAAAAAATACACAGTGAAATACAAATTTACTCCATATATAAGTAACTTGACAGATTTTGGGGAAGATAGTTCTGTTAGCCATAAGTAAGACATTAGATATTTCTTGTACACAAATAATATAGCCTGTTAGGTAAACTAGCTACGATTAAACATATAAAGTGTTACACCGGTCATCTCATTTCAAGCTAGAGATGGGGTTATATGAAATTGACCCCAGAAAATAATACCTGCATCTATTAGAAGTAGGATACTGTAGTTCAGTTCTACATGGCAGCTTTTATAAATCTACATGTACCAAAATATTTTACTCTTAAAAAAAAAATAACATCCTATTTTCTGTTCATCTGCCATTTCTAAAAACTATAATTGAACATGCAGGCTAAAAATTAATGTACTTAGTGGTTTAGGAAATTGTGGAATGTTTGTCATGTTTTAAGGGAAGGTAGATTTGCACCTTATAAACTAACTAAATCAGAGATGAATAATAAGCTTTTGTGAGCCTTGAGTTCACTTCACCAAATGCTATTAAGGGATATGAACAAAACAGTGTATCAAACAGAGAGAGTTGAATACTGAAGACAGGGAAGGCGGGGGGGGGGGGGGAAGCAGTGCAGGCAGAGGCAAACAAGCAATAAACTCATGGAGACAAAGGGGTCACAGGAACTAATCCAGGTAATGGATTATGTCACATTCCAAACATAATATTTATTCTTTCCCAGTGGATGGCAAGTATTAATTTTTGTAATATCCATCAGCTGAAAAACATTTTATAGTTATTGGCCTTTTAGGCAAGAATTTAATTGTTAGGAAAGATGGTTTTGTGATTAAGATGCTGGCATTGGATATGGGGGTTTTTTTGTGATACTGGTCAAAACAGTTTGTTTCCTCTGTGCATCTCTACTCCCCCTCTGCAAAATCAGATTAATAATATTTACATATTTTGCAGTTTGAGATGATATCCAGCAATAACTGAGAAGTGTTCAGACACTTCAGTAATCTAATAGATATAAGTATCTCGATAACTCTCATGAAGGATAGTGAAAAGAGTTAACATAAAGCAGGTTCTTCATTTTGTTAAATGAAAGAAGATGGAGGAAGGGTGATGATAACAGATCTGACTTAAGGATTTAAGATGTTTCATAGAACTTTTTTCATATTTTCTTGGAGTTGGATTACAAAATATGTTGAAAGACATGAAGAATGTACATATATGTCACAGGAATGTTTGGAACCCCTGGTAGATGCTTCATAACAATTATATGGTTAGCATTTGATTAAACACCATACCTTGTTTATCCAAATATGAATTAAAATATAAGAGAACCAATCAATAATGGATGATCTTCTCTCTATAAGAGATGTATTAAAGAAACCTGCATATGTATTAAAGAAACCTTCAAACCACGCGTTGTATTTATTTAATCGATATTTTGTGTTTTAGATTTTAAACTTTGGGAAGAAAGCATATGTCGTTATCTGTCTTTGTAAGTAAATTCAAAATGTAAGACTTAGAACTAACATTTCTATTCATTCTTCTTTCAGGACTTCAGTAATCCAGGCCAGTTGCTGATGAAATGAGACTGCAGGAGGTTATTGCATTGGTGCATTTTTGAATGAAATCCAAACAGTTATTTTCTGTGGAGTGGGTTAAAGCCCCTAATTACCAGTTTACATGTGTAGGTCACTGCGTTACTGTGTTAGTCATTGTCTCTATGCAGCAATGACAAGCCTGGAAGAAGCAAACAGAGAAGTGAACATGCATTCGTCAGTCAGATATCTTGGCTATTTAGCCAGAATCAGTCTGTTGGTTGCTATCTGCATGGGCCTTTATGTCAGATGGGAGAAAACTGCAGATGCATTAATACTGGTAATTTTTATCCTGGGACTTTTTGTTCTTGGAATTGCCAGCATACTTTACTACTATTTTTCAATGGAAGCAGCAAGTCTGAGTCTCTCCAATCTTTGGTTTGGTTTTTTGCTCGGTCTCCTCTGCTTTCTTAATAACTCTTCTTTTAAAAATGACGTGAAAGAAGAAGCAACCAAGTATTTGCTCCTTTCCTCCATTGTTTTAAGGATATTGTGTGCTTTGGTTGAGAGGATTTGCGGCTGTATCCATCATCGACCAACTCTGCTGACAACAGTTGAATCTCTGGAGCTGGTTGGATTTGCAATCGCCAGTACAACTATGCTGGTAGAGAAATCCATGAGTATCATCCTATTGGTTGTGGCTTTAGCCATGTTGATTGTTGACTTACGTATGAAGTCTTTCCTGGCAATTCCAAATTTGGCAATTTTTGGAGCCCTTGCTTCTTTGTTGTTTTTTCCTTCACTGAACATCCCTACAAATCCATTTGCCTTGGCATGTTTCTTTAGCTGCCTCATTTCAGACCCTCTTCTTGATGTCTACTTCAGCGGACTTTCAGTTACTGAAAGATGGAAGCCCTATTTGTACCGTGGTAGAATTTGCAGAAGGCTTTCCGTCATTTCTGTTGGAGTCATTGAACTTATCTTTTTCGTTCTAGCTGCTTTTAAACTACGTGACTTGCATCTCTGGTACTTTGTGATACCTGGTTTTTCCATTTTTGGAATTTTCTGGATGATTTGCCATATTATTTTTGTAATAACTCTTTGGGGATTTCATACCAAATTAAATGACTGTCACAAAATCTACTATACCCACAGGGCAGAGAACAACTGCCTTGATAGAGTCATGGCTTCTAAAGGAGTACGTCATTTTTGTTTAATTTCAGAGCAATTAGTATTTTTCAGCCTCCTTTCAACTGCTGTTTTGGGTGCAGTGTCATGGCAGGTAAATTAAAATGTATTTGTCTCATTCCCTCTTCTAATATTTGAGAACATTGTTTTTCTAACTCTCATGATATTTAGCAGTGTGCTGTGACCAGGGCATCCAATTGAGAAATTCTGTGCTGAGCAGAAGCTGCCAGCTTCTAAAACAGATTCTTGTAGTCTGTCACTTTGGGCTGTTTGACTGGTTAGAGAGGCCACTGAATCAATCTAAACGTGCAAGGTCAAACTGGCAAGAGGTGCTCCTTCCAGCTTGAAGAAAGACTTAAATGCATTCAGATTTTAGATTATTTCAGTGTCTGAAACAACTGGCCATGTGACCAGAATCTTTCAAAGGAAACATACTTTGCTGCAATGCCATAATGCATATAAAAATGAATCGGTGTACAGGTCTGTGGACACCTCTGTGGGTAATGTTAATGAAAACAAGAAAAGCTAACATGGAAGGGTACATTTTTCAAGAATGTAGCTGTGGGGCAGCTATTAATATCAGGAGAGGTCAAGCAGTCAAATTCTTACAGACTCGTATGAAAACGTGTCCATTACATTTTATCTTTAAATACATTTGCAAGTGGAAAGTACATGATGTAATAAAATTAATTCCCAAAAGGACCCACAGTCATCTTTCCCATGTTCAGCTTGTCCTCTTGCATGAGGATTTTAATGAAGGTGCATGTTTTTTCTTTTTCAGTCTGCCAGTATATGTTTCTTTAAAAATATTTTGTGAGGCCCCAAACTGAGGCACAGTACATACTGCTAGTTTCACAGCACTGTGGGATGAGTTTAAGGTAGATTTTATCAAAGCAAACCTAAAATGGCAGTAGCATTTTTATTTTTTTTAATATCTTACCTTCCACCATCCACAGTGTTCATGTCTGGCAGACCCTGTTGGCAAAAATGCTTGTTTCAAGCTTCCAAATTACTGCCACCTACTCAAATAGATCTTGTGATCCTTGACAGCCCACTGTAAATGACTCATGACAAATTCTTGATGGGAAGGGAAACTAATTTCTCTCTACAAGTAAGTTTTTCTCTGTATCAAGCATGTTAGCGGTTAGTAAAGGGAAGATGGCTGGAAGTTTGGTTATTTTCTCTCTGCAGTCATTCCCCTTGTAAAACACTGGCATATATGATTATGGCTTCTGATTTCACAGAAGGCAGAGAAAAAAAATATAACAAAAATAAATACACAGAGGAAAAGCAAAATCCAAAAAGGGATTCTTTAAAAAATAGAAAAAGACTTCAGAAAAGAGGTATCAATTCAGTGACAAAGATGGCACAGTAGTTAGTAAGAGAGAAACTAAAAAGAAATATTAATAGCATTCATAGGAACGACTTGCATAATTTTTTCACTGAGAATTATGTGAGGCATAGAAGTTTAAAGGTAACCAACTGAAATTTGAATTTCTGCAGTCTGTCATACAATAAACAAGATATTCATTACTGCTAAATAACGCCAGTTCTTGTCGCCCAACTTCCATTGAAATATTTCCTTTTTAAAATTCTGGGGAGCAATAAATGATAAAATACAATGCCGTTCCCACTGGGGATGCGGGTGGGGAGAGGTGGGGGGGAGGGGTGTAGAAAACTGAATCTCAGAAAGCATTACTGTATTCCTGAAAATTAATGCAACACTTCTGCCTTTGGGTATTTTAAAATAACTTTGATTCTGAAGACACTTTTTTACTTGTATTCTGGTATGCCTTCCTTGAAGGTTTGAGAAAAGCAAACTGGCTATTCACTTGTGTTCTTTCTTTGCTTTTGAGTAGTTTCAGTAGAAATTATGAAGTCCTTATTCAGTCTGGATCAGGTAAGGAGATGCACATCACTTCTTCTAGTGAAAGGCACATTTCTCTGTTCAGTTGGAGATGGAATAATTGCTGTGTCAAAATGAAGAACAGTAAAAGGGGAAATATTCTTCTCATTTGGAAAATCCAGTTTATTATTTGTGTCTGTAAATTCGATCAAGGAGAAATTGTCAGTCATTTATTTACAGTGAAATTATCAGCCTAAGATCATAAATATAGTTGTCTCTTACTAAAAGTATTTCTACCCTGATATGCAGTAGCTGCTTGATCAGTCAGTTATGTGCTTGTTTCATCTGCGCTTTCACCAGTGGTCAAATACTTACTTGTGTTGACTAATTTATGTTATAGCAAGGTCTGATAATCACTAGTTACAACTGTCTCAAGAAGTTTGTTATCTTTTTCTGCAGTATTCCAGATTGTTTACATTTTTAGAGTCATCTAAAAGCAGAAAATTAAACCTATCAAAGCATACCACTATATTTTTCCCAGGGCATCCATTTTATTTCTAAGCTCCTAAGAAAACTGATTTGCTTTTATTTTTATATATGGAGTTCTGTGCCTTAGACTGCTGTTTGGGATTCTTTGCTGAAACACCACCTTTTCATGAGTCTGATATTTCATATGGTTCCATCAGGCTCAGAAGTAATGCAGCAAATGAGCTCCTGTAGCAGATAAGTACTTTTTCTCTGGTAGATTGTGTCTTTAGCCTGCGTGGTAAATAAAGCTGACATTCAAATATCACTGCAGTTCAGTTAAATAAAATAGTAATCACTGCTAAATATTTAATTAAGGGAATATGCCCTGCAGTTAGCAGCAAAGTATAATTTATGAATCTTAATATTGTAGAGGCCCTTATTTTTTCCTTTTATTTAAAAAATTCCACTTGTTTTCTAAGAATTCCTTGCTTTAGAAAAACAAGAAGTGCTGCCAATATGTATGTTCTTTTTAGTTATTTTTTCAGTTTCTGCTTAGGTTCTCCTTCCATCCTTGTTTATTCAAATTTTCCTTAAAATGTATAATACTTTAAAGATCCAAACAATTTAAGCAACTTGCATATAAAAATTAATGACTAGGTGTAGGGTTGTCTTCCAATTAAAATAATTTAAGGTCAATTTTGTAAGTCTCAGAACATAAACACTGACTGTTCTGTTTGAAATCTGATTAAGCTAGAAAATTCTTCATGTTTACTCCTAGAACTCTCTTTGTTCCATAGACACTGAAATTTTGTAGCATCTGATATAGATGTAGGTCTGTATGTCTGACATTCTACCATTTTGGTCTGTTGTGTAATTAATAGTACTGGTTAAAAAACAGTATTGGAGAGGTGTTGCACAATACTCTGTTGTAGATAATTAGCCTTAGCCTATGAAAGATTTCTTTTGGTTATACATGGTTGTAAAAATGTTCAATGATGGTGTTTCTAATTAACTGCTAAAGTCTCTGTCTCTCTAGTAGCAGTGTACTCCTGTGTATACTGCACATATAGTCTACTCCACTTGTACATATTGGTTAACTGCATAATTTCCTTAATTTCATAACATGAAGCAGGTTTGGGGGTTTTTTTGTCCATTGCTTACAATGCAACAAGCATTGTTTATGTATATATAGAATTTGGCCAAATAGCAGAGTTCAAAAGACATTTAACAACAATTTTGAAAAACAGCATACAAGAAGAGGTTGGAAGACTTGGGGTTGTGTTTGTGATAACAGAAGAAAGTTTATAGAGCATTTGATAAGTCTTCAAATACAAAGAAGGTTTTTATAAAGAGACGGATCAATTATTTTCTTTGTCTGCAAAGAACGGAAGAAGAAGTAATGGGTTTAAATTGTAACAAGGGAGATTAGGTTGGATACTAGGAAGAACGTTCTGATTATGAGAGTAGTTTAAATATTGGGATAAATTATCTGGAGAGGTTACTGAATCACTATCATTTTTTTTTAAAGGATCTTAAGTGCAAGTGGAACAGCTAGTTGTTTGGCATGGTTTGCATGGTGATGTTCCTAGGCTGAGCAGGGGCTTGGATTAGATGACCTCTTGAGATCCTTCCAGCCCTGTTTTGCTATGTTTCTGTATGATTAGGTACATAAACTGCTTAAGTGCATAGCATCTTTCAGCCGCATTGCCTACTTTGTAATTTAATTGTACTAACTGTCCCCAAAACAGTGCAGGGGAAGCAGGCATCCAAAGGCTACTATTAGAAGCCATGAAGGTGAAAGGAGCTACAGTTTCATTGCTTTCTTCTATCTTGATACTAAGGGCTTCTAATATTTTAACAAGAGTCTAAAAACTATTAGAAGCGTTGAAAATGGTGATTATTTCATAGCTACTAATACCACAGCGGTAACAGCCCCGTGTAGTTAATGAGCCATGTGAACATTAATCTTGGCACAGCCTTTGGAGGGAACAGGGGTTATCTTACTCTGTAGTAAAGTGGGGTAGGGAGAGATGGGCATGCTCCTCTTTGTTGGATTTCTCAAGTGTTTTTTAACAAACTTCCTGCCCTTGCAGTGGCTGGATACTGATAATGCCGTCATCTTCCTGTTTTCCCTGTAGCAATAAAAAGGGTGCTTTTGATGTTTTTGGCATTATGCCTTGTAGTTGTACATGAGAGTTGTTTAAGTTTTTAAGAACAGGTTAGACAAGTACTTGCCTAGAATGGCTCAGATAAGGATAATCCTACCTTGCGCAGGGCTAGATCAGGGGATGGAAATGTTTTCCAGCAGTAGGCCAGAATGACCAAGCTTGCATTTGAGGCAGATGGGCACTAGACCCTAGCTGCCTCTCACTTCTCCCTACTGCCTGATTGTGGCATGGTGCAGAGAGAGCTCCCCATCTGCTAAAGTCCTGAATTTTCAACAGCAGAGTGTTGTAGTGCTGGGAGAGCTGCCCATTGCTGAATGCTGCAGCTCTATGGGCTAGATCCAAAGTCTCTGTGGGCCATAAGTTGCCAATCTCTGGAAAAGATGAGCTCCTGAAGTCTACTTTTCTATGCTTCTATGATTTCTGTATTTCTGGAATAAATATAGAAGTCCCCAAGGCTATGCACTCAGGCAGAGTATACATCATGTATATAAGGACCCTGCTACACATTCAAATTAAAGCTGAATGGAAACCAGCTAGAGTTATGGCATACTTTCAAGCACTAACTTTGTAGGTGGTTGGCTCTTTATAGCTGCATAGTTATTTTTATCGTGT